GAAAGAAAAAAGTTTGAGAACTAGGTCAAGTAGTCAAATCGGATCACTAGTTTAACTAATTTTTGACAATTTTGATTGATTTTTAACAAAAATGATTTTGTACTATTATCCACCTCAAAAGAAGATCGATTCATGATGAGACGGATTGATCTAATTCAGGTCTAACAACATTGTTCTATAGGTCCCCACATATAGAAAAGCACAACATAAAAAATGACTTGCAAATATTTTCACGGTCAAGATTTTAAAAAATATACCAATACATTATCCCAGCAAAAAAAAAAAAAAAATCAAAGGAAAGGCAGGTCCCAACTAACCATACCAAACAAGGACGATGAGACACTTCTCATAGTAGAAAAATTCGTACCACAGAAAATGCAAATGGCAAAGAAAAGTCCAGAGTCATTAACAAGTGGTAATAGCCAGACTGCAGCCAGAACCGTACGCCAGCACGTGACGCCGTATGAACGACGCTGAGCTGGCACCTAGTTATTGGTCGGAGGCTGACACAAAAGACACGGACGGACAGTGACATCTTGCCAAAATTGTACGCACAAAATCATCTGGTAATGAAACGTCGTTTAGTTTTATCCCAAGAAAGAAATAAAACACACGCTTTACTGATTATTCTGTGGTTGAGATTTGAGACTTAAGAGACGAAATAGAAAAAGACTGTAAAGATTTTGAAGACTATCATTTCTCTGTACATCTTGCCCGAAAAATCTCTTTTTAGGGTTTCTACCGGTGTCTTGCCTACCCAATATTTTCCAGCTTCTGTCATCTCCCATACTGCAGATCTGAGTTTTCCCAGAAAAGGATTTGTTTGGTTTTCCATTTTTTGGGGTCAATCAGTACCATTCCATCTGGATTCTTTCCTTTTTTGGGAAACTTTTTTGTTCATGTGATTATTTTAGATTTTTCTTGATCAAGTGTTTTTTGTTGTTTGCACTTTGACCCTTTATCGAATCATTGATTTCTCTTTCAGGGTTGTCGGTGGATTTAATTTTGCGCCTCGTTTCTTATCTAAAATTGCAAGAATGTTGAGAGGGAAAACTCAGATTAAGAGGATAGAAAGTGCAACAAGTAGACAAGTGACATTGTCAAAGAGGAGAAGGGGAGTTCTCAGGAAGGCCTTTGAGCTATCTCTGTTCTTTGTGATGCAGAGGTTGCACTGATCATTTTGTCCCTCAGCGAGGAGCTTCATAAGCTCTCAAGTTCCAGGTACATTAACCATCATAATTCGCTCCTGATCTGCACATAATCTCTGTCTCTCTTTTTGTGATTAATTTTCTTCTCCTTTATCAAAATGGTATCATATTCATCAGATTTTATGTCCACTTCTACAACGGATTGACCATTAGTCATTCCAAGTGTGTTCTCAAGCTTTTATCGGAGCTAAAGGATCAGGGATCCCTTATCTTGTTTTATATCCGTTCCTATGAAATCAATTTTTACCAATAAGTGCAGTTTTTAATGAGTTTGACTGAAGGCATTTCACAAGTGGTTTAGATATTGTTTGGTCCGGAGGTGGAAATAACAGATCCTTGGAAGCACAGCAAAACTTAGATAGACAAAGATACACACAATTTGAGGAAGTACCAATTCTGCAACACTTTTTTTTTTTGGAGATGATGTTTTATGCCAAGTTGTCAACTTAAAGAAAATAAAAATCAGTAGCAAATGTTATGAGACGCAGCATTTCATCCCAACAAGCAGTAACCTTGCGTAGTAGTTCTTAGATCACATTGTGTACATAGACTATGAGGGGCTATACTGAATACAAGTGGAAATGGTACCATGTCTATAATGAAGCCGGTAAGTAGTTGTTGTGCTTTTGTACTTATTCTTTGAAAATGTCCAATCACACCAGCCTATATGCATTAGTGCTACGAGGAATTGTACCTTCTCAATTCCCTCCGAGCTTTCAAGAGTGAGAGAATGCATCCTTGTTATTGGAGTCATGGAGAACGTCTAAGCAGGATAGGAATACTCCTATTTTGAAGCTTTGCTTTCGTAAATCTCCTAAATTAACCTGTTATGCTAAGTTAAGTTCCAATGAGATGCATGATTTCGGTGGAGACAATATGGCAGTGCCATTTGACGCAATTGAGGATCCAAGGCTTTTCTATAACTTACTATCTTTTTTGTTACAAATTTTAGCGGCCTCTAGCTTAATTTCCCCAGCAAAAAGGACGTTTTCATGTTATATTAGCTGTGTTGGTACAAATTTTACTTGGATTGGCTTACTTTCAACTTTAAGAAGGAAATAACGGAATATGTTATTGTTAAAACCTAACTTGATGAAAGAAAAATTTTTTATGACACCAATTTGACAAATATTTTCAGAAGGATACTGTTGGAAGTTGAAGGTATAAATGAATTGCAAACATCATAAATGAACCCTCGTTTTGAATCAAGAAAAAAGGTATTAATCACTAAGTCATATTTGGTTCTCCAATATTGCTCTGATCGAATTTTAATTTTTATATATGATGAATTTGGGTGTTTTGTATATAGGAATAAATATTGAGTACAGTTTTTGAAGATTTAAAGATTTCTCATTGACTCACAGTTTAAAACAATTTGATGTAAATACATGTCAACAATTATTTGGAATCCTTTTTTTAATTGAAATTCATACCAACAATTATTCGGACACTAAATTCCTTCCTAAAATTCCTAAATCAACATGATGGTAATGTATTCCTCTCTGTGCTAAATTATAAGAGTTGTGATACTTTGAGCAAAGTCTCCTTATAGGAATATTCAATATCTCTGAATCTCTTATTCTTTGCAAAAATTTATTTTTCACACATTTTCTGTCAAATACAAACTTATTGGGTCTTGTATTAATGATAAATATGCCACTTTATGGGTTTAAATTAATGGCCTGTTCTCACCTTCTTTTCATTTCTCTTTACTTTTATGAGAAGGGTGGATAGATAACCTCATTCACCTGTTTAACTCATGACCCTATGTTGTCTCTTTAGTTTAAATAGAACCTATTGTGTTTTTCGAATTGCCTATTGGGTCTTAAAAAGGTGCCTGATCAAAATTCTATCCAAGTTGACTTAATAGATGCCAATCAAGTGAGGGACGTGACAGTTCTCCAAGGGCAATAGATAAAAATTATTAAAAGTCTAAACCTACACCCTTGGTTGATCACAACAGACTAAATAAATAAGAGGGAAAGGGTCTGACACATGATGCATTATTAGGACAAAATTTGGTAATCAACTTCATTCTTTCTAAACTTGTTTACATATACATATGTGTATACATATTCACAAACATGCACATATATATACATACCTATATATACATATATATATATATATATATGTGTGTGTGTGTGTGTGTGTGTGTGTGTGTGTGTTGAGAGAGAGAGAGAGAGAGAGATAGCACAAATAGAAAGAGCTAGAGATCGTATCAGATGGAAAGTGTAGATGGGTGAAATTACATGTAGGTGTGGTTTTAAGTTTTTCGATTGACTTGAAAATAAAGGCTCTCGTTAGATTTATTAGGCTCTTAGTTTATTTCGGTGTACTTGTCAATAATTATACCTATATGCTTTCTCTTTTGCCCTCTCTTTTCCTTTCTCATTATTGAATCTACAGCTCTGACCATTTGCCCTCTCTCTCTCTCTCTCTCTCTGAATGTGATTTAGGAAAAGAAATTGATTATCAAATTTTGCCCCAATAATGCAAGAGGTGAATGGATTCTTCTCATCCTATATACTTGGTCTGTTGTGATCAACTTAGAGTTGCAGATCTAGACTTCCAACTCTTTCCATCTATTGCTCACGGAGAACTCATGTTTCTTTCGTGATATTATGTCGATTTAGACGAAGTGTTTTCTAGAGGCCTTTTGAAACCTAATTCATAAGTTGAAGGACTTAATAAGTTCTTTATACACGCAATGGACGAAATAAGGTGATGAGTTAATGTGAGGGAAGAATGAGGTCATTTGCCCACCTCATTTGCCCTAGAAAGTTCTATCAGATTATTGATAACAAGAAAAAGAAACAAAATCCGAGGATGAAAAATGCTAGTTTAAGGTCTCTAGATCCATGAACTGATATAATATCAGAAATCAGGATGAGAAACTTTATTTTAAAATTATTCACTGAATAATATCGCGTGCAATGATTTAATTGCGTTAGTGCCACAAGTACTATAGAGCACTACGAGAAGAATATCAAGAATCAATGTCCCAGCGAAAAAATGGCTCTACAACATTCATAGGTCAGAAACTGATTAGCATATTCGGGTAAATCTTTTTCCATATATGATTTGCTGCTGCAGTTGCTAGTGGGTGTGGCTGTAACTGTTTCCCTTGCCATTGTTTCATAGACATGCAAGCAGTAACAACAGTATCCTTTTGCTTCTGTGATTAAGTGAGTATATTTAAATATGTTCATGGAGAAAGTTTCGTGTTCAGAAAATTTTTCTTTTTTTTTTTTTTATCTTTTCCTTTCCCGTGACTGGATGGATATACGTCCTTTTTGCACCTCCTCTCCACTAAAGAGTTAATTTCTTGTGTTGGTGTGCTATATCTGTTTACCACTTGTGACGTTTGTTGTGTTTTGTTTTTAGGGGTGAATGGTATCTATTTGAGTTTTATGCAGCGTTTTGACATGTGAAATTACCTTTTGAATTTTCTTTGAATAGCGGGTATTTAGTGTTCAACTGTGTCCTGGTACCAAATGTTAGTTGCATGAGCCTATGAATTGCATGCGTCCAAAGTCCAAAATAAGCAGCTTCATGGCATTCACTTTCTTGATTTCTCGGAATGGCAGCCAAGATCCTTTGAACTGGTATTGAATAGCCGTAATGCCTTACGTTCACTTGATTCTTGATTCTGGGAATCTCATTCAAGATCATCGGTCACTGCCAACTCATTCTTTGACTTAATGAATCTTGTCTTCGAATTTATTCTGCTACATCTTTTGATTCGTGCCGAGCTTCTTGTTTTTTTCCAGAATTTTGAAGAAGAGATTGCAATTCTGAGAATAAAAAAAAGTCGAGCTCTTGAAGAAACTAAACGGTTGTTGTCCTAACATTGACACGTTTGAGCTTTAAGCACAACTCATTCTTATCGTATAACAACATGATATTAAAAACAGCATAATTTTTGTATGTTGCAGAAGGTTCTTGGGAGATGGTTTAGATTCCTCCTCGATCTCTTGATGAACTGCAACAGATAGAAGGTCAGTTGGAGAAAAGTTTATGCATCATTAGGTCAAGAAAGGTACATTTTGCAATAGGCATCTCTAAAATGATTTGATCAGAATGTAGAATTTGATGGTCAAAAATCGAATGTCCAATTCTCCTGCAGAGCCTATTGTTTTGAGAGCGCATTCATCAGTTGAAACAAGAGGTAAAATATGCATTTGAAAATCCAGGAGTTGCTTATTCTTTTGTTTGCACTTTGACCAAGAACAAGGTTTATGAATTTCATGTTAATTGGCATTGTTGATCTTCTTAATTTGCATGCCTTCTCAAAATTCAGGAGAAAATTCCCAAGAAGGAAAATACGGAATTGCAGGAAAAGGTAGATTACTATTATTACTCATAACGTTATTGATTTATAAATGAACCCTAGAATAATGAAAAAAATGAAAAGTCTATTCCGACTCTATGATGTTGAATAGGTACGGATAATGGAAGTTGGTAAATTCATTCTTCTTCTTTCAACAAAAGACACAAATTCTTCAAAAGGAACTCCAACGATTTGAGACAAAAATGTATTAGGGAAGGTCGTCTAAACCCTACAAACCTCTATTTCAAATTCAAATTCTGTACAATTCTTAATAATGGTAACACTAAATTAATAAATGAACCAAATGTTGAGGATTTGAGATGAAGGGCTATGAGATTCAGCACCTCCCAAAAGCATTGCTGTCATTAATGTTTAGTTTGTATGTATATGCCAAACCTATTTGTTGAGTAATTTATATTTTTTCAGAAAATGAATTTGCAATATGATTGAAACTAACGATTAGTACTGAATAATTAATCCTTGTCACTGAGATAAGTAAAATTGTCCCAAAATAAAGGAAAAATGAACAATCTGCATAATTTGTTTTTCTTCTTTTATAGTTTATCTTACTTTTCTTTGTACTATATATAAAAGGCATGCATGTTATTTCAAGCTGCGCCGAACTTATTAATTATGAGAGGCAAATTAAAAGCAGCTCCTACATTGATGGATGAAATATTGAATGTTCTAGTCATTCCTATTCTATGTTTTGGTCCAATTTTCAGGTAATTTTGGGGAAATAACGCTTGGAAGATGAGGAGTATCTATTATCGGATGAAAGAAAGTTGTGTATGGCTAAGTGTTTTTTGATCATTAAAGCCTATTGGCCTACTGCGTTATTTTGTGGAATTACCATTCAAATGATCAAAATGTGGCAGCGTTAAAATTTGTGCTTCTTTTTTTTTCCCCCATCATACAATGAAGGACGCAATGTTTTATAAAGAAAAATAAACATAAATGAATACATAAATACAAGTTTAGGAGGGACATTGGTAGAGGTTTCAAGGGCCACGTGTAATATTCTGTCTTCTTCTCGTTTTATGATTTTTTAAATTTAAAAATTGTACCAAAATTAAGTAGCAAATCTTTTGTAGTAGCTAGCCACTGCCGTATTCCCCGTCATTAGCCACTCCAAAGAATGAGAAAAGAAACGATATTATATTTGCCACTTTCCAATTTATAGGAGGATATGGAATGCCAGTGCGGTTAGGGTTTGTTACCGTTCAATCTCGTTGTTGTATTTTTTATATTATTCGATACACAATTGGATTATATTATTATTTTTTTTAGTAAAAGTGGTACACATTAATGTAAAATATTTGACATATATTTTATACAACACTATGATACATTTGTATATCAAAAAATTAAACATATATATCAATCAGACGATATCGCACATAACACAATTGTACCGAGTTTTTATCCCATGAATGCAAAATACTTTTATGATACAAAATGTTGGATGCATATTTCACCCGATAAAAGATGTATCAAAATTACATCCTTATAAAAGTTAGATTTCACCCACTAAACCTTTTACAAACTTTTTGTTTTTTGGTACCTCAAATATTAACAAGTTAAAGATATGATTTAAGAAACGGGAAGAGGGATTTGATTCTAAAACGGTTACAAATTCTCCTTTTTATTTCTCCTTTGTGTGCCACTTTATCTCGAAAGACATTCAAAGTTTTCGTGATAAATATGTGGCAAGCTCAATTCTCATGATAAATGACTTTCGAATATTTATTTTCACTGTTAAGACTTTAAAAAGTGCCAGAATACCACCAATGCATTACCCCAAAACAAAAAGAAAAAAAAAAAGAAAAAGAAGAAGAAATCAAAGGAATGATAGGCCCCAACCAACCATACCCAATCGGGGACAACGAGATACTCTCATAGAAGAAAAATTCGTACCACAGAAAAGGCAAATGGTAAAGGACAGTCACAGTCATCAATAATAGTATGATTCTGACAAGCAAAAATTAATAATAGTAACAGCCCAGACTCCGGCCAGAAGGGTACATTAGCACGTGACGCTGTCTGAAGTGTGCTGAGCTGGCGCCTATTTATGGTCGAAATTGTACGGTCGGACAATGACATCTTACTAGTGTTGTACGGACATAACGTCATCAAACTCTGTTGCGTGGGTTCAGCTTTTGAGATGACTGATGCCAACCCTAAAACGATGGATTTTTTCCCGCTGCATATCAATCTGCCAAAGTGTTGACTGTTGACAACCGACAAGGATGTGAATCTCAACCTGCCATCTTAAATCCACCGTAGATTCCTTTTTAAGGTAATGGAATGTCGTTTAATTTTTCCCAAGAAAGAAAGGAAGGAAGGAAGAAAGAAAACACACAATCACTGATTATTATTTATTCATGCTGGTTCACCACCATTATTTGACTCTTTTCATTACACGTTTGTTGAATTGCATAAACATTTTGATTAGGATGCCTTGTTTTCATCAATTGCATGAATATCTTGATTAGGATTAGCCTTGTTTTCATCTTCTTTTAATGATGGCATAGTGGAAATCTCTAGACTCTACTCCCTTTGTAAGGCAAAAATAGGGGTTATATCTCTAAGGGCTACCCTAATTTGATTCTAGGTCCGGTAATTTTATAGAAAAGTTTTACACGTTTTAATGGGATCAAATGCCTACGTGATTGATTTTGTTCAATTCGGTCTAATTAATTATTGTAAATTTTATCCGTAAATTCATGCAAACTTGATGTGATGGTGAATTAATTGTACGATGATCTCCCTTGCATATTATATACCAACACCATCTTGTACTAGTTTTTCATTTTCAAACATTTTTCTCATTGCAATAATTTACGCACCTAAATAGACTGTTTTTATCGCATAATTTGATATCAATTCATTGACAACTCATCACTTTATGATTCTCATAATCTTAATTCAACGGACAGGAGGGAGATTATTGTTCGTGATGGTGGTGAATCTAATTCAAGAGAGAGTGACTTAAGGGAAACAATGTTAGCATATTAAATCAAGACTCAAAAATATAAAATTTTTATATTATTACTTAGTAATGTTTTACTCAAGTTAGGATTGTAATAATTTTATTGGTGTCAAGTTATAGCAATTTTATTATTAAAAATTAATATTTTATTAGAAAATCTTTTATGGTGTCAAACTTATTTATGAAGTAGTCTATAAATAGAGAGTTTTATTATTGTTATCATTTGAGAAGAGTGAAATTTGATAGGCTAATTATTATGGTGTGTAATTAATTTATTATTGTTGATATTTATTCCTCTTCTCTCACAGATACTTGTATGTGTGTAAATTGTATCACCACATATATTGGTTCCATTAAATTTATCTCCTACAGCTTTTCGGTGACATTTTTTGAGTTCTACGTCTGTGGGTTAACAAAATTCATGTTTATATAGAACTTTTATCATTTTACATCAAATGCTATATGAATTATATAACTAGAAGAATTGAATACAATACATCAAATACTATGTGAATTATATAACTAGAAGAACTGAATACAAAAGTTCAACTGGAGAGTCCCGAATTTGTTTTAAAGCTAATTGTCACATCAATTTTGGAGCATTTTTGGCTGAATTGTACTTCTTTTTTTTTTTTTGCAAAGATAACATTCGTATAACATAATCTATCATATTCTACAGCAGAAAAGAGCCTAAAAAGGTTGTGTAAGAGGTTAGCAAATATATAAATCTGACTAGACCAAACAGACGTTTTAGCACCTTTTTTGAATTTTTTTCACTGCAGATGAGGTTTAAATTCCCGACCTATAATTCAAAAAGGAATTTAGTTCTTTTTTGGTGGCAAAGCTAGTGGTTTGGCTACACTGAACTTATTACCTAACTCTAGTGCTCAATGAACAAAAAGACCTAGTAGCTTGTTCCATCTAGCCTCGAAGTAATTAATATACGAACAAAAATTAATATACCAGCAAAGGAAAAAGAATAATCAGTTATCAGTTCGTGAAAAGAGCGATTAACAACATCAGACTTGGAGAAAGGAATTAATAAAAGAGGAGAGCCAAATGCCTTGAGATTTGTCAAAAAACTTACATAGAAAAATGCTAAAAAATCATGGGTAAAATACATTTTGTCCCCGTGATTTAGTGATTTTTTACATAATTTTCTTGTACTTTTAAATGCTATATATTTCTTCCTTATAGTTTGGACTAAAAATTTTAAAATGACGGAAATGATGCCCTATAATGGAGTCAAAAAAATATCTAGATTACTTTTGTTTAAAAACTAAAATATCCTCTGAAGTGATTAAAATATATAAATATAATATGCATGAAACTTTTAACTCCTTATAATTTTGTATTTTATCACATAACTCTTTTGCGGTTTAGTATTTTACCACGTAACCTTCTTATAGTTTTCAAAATATATACATAACTCATGTGTGATTAATAAATAATTTTTAACTTTATATAAACATACTTTTGACATTTTAATGGATTTTGATATTACATATAAATTTCGTTATTTTAACACTTTAATTTAAATGATCATAAAGAGGCTATACATGACTTTTAAAATTACAGAATATTATGTGAAAAAACGCCAAACTACGTCGGGTGTAAAGGCAGCCTTGGGTTCTTTTCTTTATCTCTCGATCCACAAATGCACAGCTTGAAAATTTGCGCTCACTTTGATATGTAATGGTCCCCCCTCGGCATCTTTGCTAAAATAGCTAAAAATGCTTCCCACGGGTTTCCACTTGCCGTTGTACAAATATATTTTCTCCGTCATTTCTTTTCGAGGAGTCCCTTTCGTGCTTCTCATACCAAAAGAAGAAAATGGGATAACGTTTTGGGACCTTGCTGGTTTTTCTCAATCACTTACGTTTTGCATATATTCTATGGTTGAAATTGAGACTTAAGGGGAAAAAAGGACTACAGATACATTGAGGAATATCTCTTTAGGGTATATGTTATGCATCTGTTCCAACAAGTGGTAATGTAATTATTCGGCAAAAAATTATCTAGAATAATATTATAATACGGTATATATAAGATGAAAAAATAATTAACAATTATATTTATGACATAAGGAGAATAATATTTATAAATTTTTGAATTATATTGTCCAAACGGAGCCATCATTTCTCTCCAAAGTTACTATAAAGACTACAAACACTTTGAGGAATATCATTTCTCTGTACATCTTGCCTGTACATCTTGCCTGAAAAATCTCTCTTTAGGGTTTCTACTAGTGTCTTTGCTACCCATTATTTTCCAGCTTTTCTCACCTACCATCTTGCAGATCTGAGACTTCCCAGAAAAGGTTTTGTCTGTTTTTCCATTTTTGGGGTCAATCAACTTCATTCCCTCCTGGATCTTTCTGTTTTTGGAAACCTTTTTTGTTCATGGGGTTATATTAGATTTTTAATTCTTGATTAATTTCTTTTTTTGCACTTTGACCTTTATGGAATCATTATTGATTTCTCTTTCAGGGTTGTCGGTGGATTTAATTTTGGACCTCGTCTCTTATCTAAAATTGTAAGAATGGTGAGGGGGAAAACTCAGATTAAGAGGATAGAAAATGCAGCAAGTAGACAAGTGACATTCTCAAAGAGGAGAAGGGGACTTCTCAAGAAGGCCTTTGAACTATCAGTTCTTTGTGATGCAGAAGTTGCACTGATCATTTTCTCCCCCAGCGGGAAGCTTTATGAGTTCTCAAGTTCCAGGTACATCAACCATTTTAACATTTGCACAGGATCTGCTCACAATCTCTGTCTACTTCTCTTATTTGTTATTAATTTTCTTCCCTTTCATCAAAATGATATCATCTTCATCAAATATTGTGTCCACTTTTACAACGGATTGACCATTAATCATTCCAAGTATGTTCTCAAGCTTTCATCAGAGCTAAGGGATCAGGGATCCCTTATCTTGTTTTATGTCCGTTCCTATTAAATCACCAATAAGTGCAGTTTTTAATGAGTTTGACTGAAGGTGTTTTACAATGGATTTAGTTATTATTTGGTCCGGAGGCAGAAATACTAGATCCTTAGAAGCACGCAAAAATTAGTTAGACAAGATACACAGAATTTGAGGAAGTACGGGAGAAACCAATGTCATCAATGGTGGTAATTCTGCAGCTTTATTTTCATAATATGTATGTCAAGCTGTCAACTGAAAGAAAATAAAAATCAGTAGCATGAGTTCTTTCCTGGTGTTATATAGAATCAGAGCAAGTTTCCCAGAGCAAGTGTTATGAGACACAGAATTTCATCCCTACAAGCAGTAACTTTTCGTGGTAATTCTTAAAATGCATTATGTAAATAGACTACAAGGGGTTGTATCGTCATACTTATGTCAAGCTGTCAACTGAAAGAAAATAAAAATCAGTAGCATGAGTTCTTTCCTGGTGTTATATAGAATCAGAGCAAGTTTCCCAGAGCAAGTGTTATGAGACACAGAATTTCATCCCTACAAGCAGTAACTTTTCGTGGTAATTCTTAAAATGCATTATGTAAATAGACTACAAGGGGTTGTATCGTCATACTTGTTTTTCTACAACCAAAATAAAAGGTTTATTATATCTGGAATGCAAGTGGAAATGGTAGCATGTCTATAATGAGGCCAGTAAGTTGGTGTTGTGCTTTTGTACTTGTTATTGAAGATGGCCAACCACTCCGGCCTATATGCATTAGTACTACGAGGAAGTGGTCCTTCTCATCTGCTAAAAATTGGCATTATCTATTTTCTTTTAGTTAATTAAGAGTTCGTCTTCTAATGTTTACAATCAAATACAAACACATAATTTGCCTGCAAATACTGGCATATTAATCAGTGTATAGGAAAGAAGAATCTAGTGAATATAGTTATATATGTTGCTTAGCAGGAATCTAGTGAATGTAGCCAACCGCGGTGATGTATTATTAAACCCTGAAATATTAGCTTAACACTATTCAAATGCATGAGTTTCCACTTTTATACAACTATAAAAGGATGCCAAATCTCGAGCAATTTTAAGTTTCCATCTTAGTTGCTATAAGAGTAGAACAAATAGGTGATTATTCCCCAAAAATTTCAAATGTTTATAGCTTCTTTGTTGAAGCAATGCGAACGGTGTACTTTGGTCTCAAAGAAGCCAACAACAAAATAAATCCTCTTAACCTACTTATACTGCTTTTAGGATTAGTACCAAATTGTGGAATCTAAGAGTTACTGGTTCTTATTCAAGTTTCACCTTTGTACGATTCATTTGTCTGACTACATGTTTCTTACTAGATACAACTAATTGTTGCATGTTTAACTACTCAAAGTTGAAATATATTCATTAACAAATAGTGTTACAAATATGGTAGTGGACCTTTAATTTCAATTATCCATGAATCCTAAACTGCATCACCATTGGCGATCACCACTTCTATATAATGACACTGTAACTTCTAAGTAATGTATAGCCAGTGATATTCATCATTTCTCAATTTTAACTTAGTGCAGTTACATCCTAACAAGCAACTCATTTTAGCATTATTGGTTTATAAATTGGAACTACCAAAAAAAAAATTTCATATATAATACGATATATATATATATATATATATATATATATATATATATATATATATATATATATATGCGAGGGCGCTTTTTGTCATGAAATATGAAGTAATCCTGCTTCACCTGAGAGATACATAGCAATAAGGATACTGTGCAGCATTAATGGTGAGAACAAGGGTTCTCTCAACGTGGAAGATAATCAAATAATTTAGATATTTATGGAAATATTTGGCTTCTTCTATCTTCTTGTTGTGTAGTAAAGATCACATCATCACATGTGCACATTATGAAAGTTTTAGCTTTTTAGCAAGGTAAAATTTGGCCATCCTTAGTGTAAAATTAATGTTGACACACTTGAAGCACGGGTGGAGTGATGAAACTCCCCCTGAACATTCAAGATTGAGAGAATTCACTCTTGTTATTGGAGTCATGGAGAATGTCTAAGTAGGATTGTAGTACTCACATTTTGAAGCTTTGCTTTCCTAAATCTCCTAAATTAACCTGTGATGCCAAGTATAACTTTAATGGATTGCAAACACAATAGAGGCACTCGTTACATTTATTAGTCACCTGGTCTATTCTGGCGTATTTGCCAGTAATTAAACCTATCTGCTCTCTCTTTTTCTCTCTCGAGATTGAGTGGCTTATTTTGTTATGCTAGTGTTTAGGTTTGTTAGGTATAGTAAATTTTTTCCTAGTTATGATGAGATTAGGTTTTTTTTTTTTTTGGGTGATAAGTGTGTTAATCTTCTCATTCACAACAAAACTTGCTTTCTTTTTAACAAAACTTAATATTCATTTCTTGTTAGGCACCATAGCATTTCCCCTGCGTTAAGTATATGCACATACAGATTTGGATCCTGAATTTCGTAGGATTTGGGTCTTGCCAAATGGAAACTGAATCAAACTATCGATTGCCTGCTTGTTATTGCATAAATTTCTGCTTAAACAATTTATTACAGCAACTTGTACCTTTGGTCTCATGGCGGTTCCCTCGAATGCTTTTAGTGCCACAAGTACAATAGAGCGCTACCAGAAGAATATCAGGAATCTATGTCCGAGCGAAAAAATGGCTCTACAACATTCACAGGTCAGAATCTTTTCCATATATGATTTGCTGCTGCAGTTGCCAGTGGATATGGCTGTAACTGTTTTCCCTTGCAAGCAGTAGCAACTGTATCTTTTTTGCTTCTGTGGTTAAGTGAGTATATTTAAATATGTTCATGGAGGAAGTTTTGTGTTTAGAAAATTCTTCCTTTTTTTTTTTTTTTATCTTTTCCTTTCCCTTGACTGGATATATGTGCTTTTTGCATCTCCTCTTCACTAAAGGGTTTATTTCTTGTGCGGTTGTGCTGTATCTGTTTACCATCTGTGACGTTTATCTTGTTTTGTTTTTAGGATGAATGGTATCTAGTTGAGTTTTCTGCACCATTTTCACATGTGAAATTACCTTTTGAATTTTCTTTGGATAGCGGGAATTAAGTGTTCAACTGTGTGCTGGTAGCAAATATTAGCTGCGTGAGCCCATGAATTGCATTCGAAGTCCAAAATAAGCATTTTCTTGGCATTCGCTTTCTTGATTTCTCGGAATGGCAGTCGAGATCCTTTCGAACTGTGATTGAATAGCAGTAACGTCTTACATTCACTTCATTTCTTGATTCTGGGAATCTCATTCAAGACCATGATCAGTGGCAACTGATTCTTTGACTTAATGAATCTTGTCTACAAATTTATTCTGCTACATCTTTTGATTCGTGCTGAGCTTATTTTCATTTGTGCAGAATTTTGAAGAAGAGGTTGCAATTCTGAGAAAAAAACTTGAGATTCTTGAAGAAACTAAACGGTTGTTGTCCTAACGTTGACACATTTGTTCAAGTTTTAAGCACAATTCATCCTACCCGGATAACAACACGAATTTCTTGCAGTTTTTTGGTGATTAAAAGCAACATAATTTTTTGTATGTTGCAGAAAGTTGTTGGGAGATGGCTTGGATACCTCCTCTTTTGATGAGCTGCAACAGATAGAAGGTCAATTGGAGAGAAGTTTAAACATCATTAGGTCAAGAAAGGTACGTATTTTGCAACAAGAATCTCTAAAATGATGTGATCAGAGTGTAAAATCTGGTGGTTAATTAAAATAGACTATTCAATTCTCCTGCAGAGCCTATTGTTTTGGGAGCAAATTGATCACTTGAAAGAAGAGGTAAAATACCCTTTTGAAGATTCAGGAGTTGCTTCTTATTCTTTGATTGCCATTTTGGTCAAGAACAAAGTTTATGCATTACATGTAATTAATTGGTGGCCTGGCATGGTTAATATTCTTTGCATGTCTCCTCAAAATTCAGGAGAAAATCCTCAGGAAGGAAAATGCGGAATTGCGAGAAAAGGTAGCTTACTCGATCTTGTTACTCATTAATTTTTTTTTTTACATATATATATATACCCTAGAATGACCTGAAATGAAAAATCCGTTTGTACTTTTCGATGTTGGATACGTATGGGATAATGGAAGTCATTAAATTCATTCTGTTTTTTTCAACCAAATTCTTTTCAAAGAACTCCTACATAAGGGAAAAGTTTAATTAGGGACGAAAAAATTTATTAGGTAAGATCTAAATCCACGAGCCTCCATTTCAAATTCACATTTTGTACAAATTTTAATGGTGACGAAAAAGTCATAAATGCATCAAATTAATGTTGACGATTTATTTAACACCCCTTAATTAAGGTATTACTACTATTATTAATGTTTTAGTTTGTGTAGGTCTTTTTTATTGACTAACTTATATATCTCCTTGAAAAGGTACATTTGCAGTATGAGCAGCAACGATTGGGACAATCGATTAGTCGACAGCCCTTATCACTGAGACAAGTAAAGGAGATAGAAACGCGACTGTTTATTGGACTTCCTGAAAGTTCAAACTATCCCTAAAAAAAAAAAAAAAAAAAAAAAAAAATTGAACAATTTACCGGTGGAGGTGATTTTCGCATGATTTGTTTTTCTTTACTTCTTGTACAGTTTATCTTTTATATTTTTTTCTTTTTCTAAAAGGCATGTCTGAATTTATGAACTATATGAGGCAAAAGCACAGCTTCTATATTGATGGATGAAATATTGAATAAGGCTACTTGTATTGCAATTGATGATGTGTAAGTATATTATGTTAATATTGTATATAGCAGTCATTCCTATATATTCTGGGAATTGGTCCTGCTTTCAGGCAATTTTTTATTGTAGGGGAAATAATGCTTGGAAGAAGAGAAGTACTATCTATTGTCGGATACAACAAAGTTGAGTGATTGGCTATGTGCTTTTCGATTATTAAAGCCTATTGGGTTTTTGTGCCATCAAGGCTTATTTTACTGAACTCACATTAAAATCATCAAAATATGGTAGCGTTAAAATTTGTGCTCTTTTCTGTATCGTAGTCATAGAATATGGGACACAATATTTTATATAGTAAAAAAATAAATAAATAAGGGTGCAATATGTCCCGCCCCGAAGATTAGGGTTGAGACAAATAAGTGAACAAACAAGTCCTAATCAGATTAGTAGCAATTGTCCGGATGGGTAAGTCGTGTGGGTCCCTCCTTAGGTTGAGCGAGACTCTCTTTGATGTGCGTTGAGTTATAGTTAAATTATCCCCCTGTACTGTCGTTTGTTAGAAAAAAGTACTAATCAGGGCCGGAAGATTAGGGTTGAGACAAAACCCACTAACTTACTAAGGAATGGTGGAATGCTAAGTTTTTAACTATCATTCCAAAATTTCAATTCCGATAGTAGTGAACCAAACATGAATCATGGGGTTTATTCCAATTTTCCATTCCGAAACCTTTTTACCGAACGCCACCTAAGTGAACAAACAAGTACTAATCAGATTAGTACGGACATTGCTAGAGGTTAGGGCCAAGTGTTAGTATTATACTTTCGTCTTCTTCTCGTTTTATGTATATTTTGCAGCTTCTTCTAGTGGAAGAAGACAGGCTATGAAAAAGTTACAACGTACAAAAAAATGGTTTTATGATACAAAAAAGGTTGGATGCATATTTATCTCAATGACCTTTTCATTTTGATTGAAGTTGTATTTTGCTAAAAAAAAATAATAATGCGAATTCATTTGGTTATGCATTATGTGAAGAATCTTTTTCATTATTTGCATTTATGTTTTCTAACCATCTTTTTATTTCACATTAAACAAATATTGATACACTAAATAATACCATAAAGTTTCTTTTTTTTTTTTGTTTTCAAATGGTCTATATATAACGCCAACATAAAAGTACGTAATTAATTTTCTAACATGTCTTAATTAACTTGGATTTTAAGTGCGTGTATGCGATTATCAAAAAAATAACAAGCAATAATTTCTCATAATTCTACGTTACCAAATCAGGCAAAGCCAATCCACCAAAAACAGCTAGCAAACTTTATGGATTTTCGTGAACAGCACAGAATTGTGAAATTCCCAAGCCCAGAAATTACAGTCCCATCATCCTCAAGATTCTTACATTCAGGCTGCTGCTTGCCCCCCGTGCTTTTCATTTTCAGATTCTGCCCGTTGTTGGGCTAAAAAATACAAAGTAAAACCACAATGTTGAGACAAAAGGTCAGGTTGATTTTAAATTTTCCTCTATGGCACAAACCATATGAAGAGCTAATGGGTGATTTTTAGGTACTTGGATTTTATCTATTTTGTATCCGACCCGCCTCGAACAACTTTTTGGTAATTGGGTTGCTTACAAATTTATATCCTAGGTACACAGCGTGTTTAAACGAAGAGAATTAATGAGCCAATGAATATTTGGATTTTACCCATTTCGATATTTAAATCTCTTCCAATTAATTTTGGTTTGGATTTATCTCTCTTTGAACAAATTTAAATTATTTTGCTTATCCATATATAGTAACTTTTGTTTGGTACGTGTGATTTTTGAACTGTTACATCGGTAGATTCATCTTCTCTAGATACTAAAAATTCATTCACAAGAAAATGGGTTGCTGCACCAAGGTTGTTGCCTTATTGGGTAATAAGAAACTCTAACAGTGTGGAGATTTTGTTTTCCAGTTTTCATTTTTTTTTTTTTGCCTCTAATCATTATTCTTCTTCAAAAAATAAAAATAAAGGTACTTTTTAATTGGTTAAAACTGTTTATCATGAGCAAGATTGGAAAGTAAGTTAATTTTGAAATTTTTGAAAAAATGTCATTGTTTTTATGCAATCCAAATTAATAAATGCGACGGATCGCTTTTATCTTTTCTCTAATGTGAAGCCCATATAGGGTTTTAAAGGGGTCGGATTTGGGTAATTGTGAAGTAATTAACCCTTTCTTGCAGCGATAATTAAGGTCTAAATTTCCATAATTGCAGTGAACTCTGTGGGCTAATAAACCAAGCCAGTGTATTGATTAGTTGCATGTGTTTTAATTCGATTGATTTCTAGTTCTTTTTTTTTTTTCCAAACGATAACATTGCTTAATCATAAACGGATACAAAGTCAGAGCAACTGCTCATGTAGATCAGCTTGAGCTAACTCAAGCAACCATGCTGGGAAGCTAAACTTCCATTCAGCTACATCAATCAGAGTTATAGCAAACTTTGCTAAATAGTGACTTACATAGTTGTTGTTCCTTCTAGTAAAGGAACAGCAACATTTATCAAAATCTTTCATAATTCTCCAGATATCCAACTGAATTGTGGCTATACTGACTTCCTCCTTCCTGGCGTTGATTCTGTCCACTACCAACTTGCAATCTGATTCCAGCTCTACCTTCCTCCATCCCATTTGTTTGGCTATTACCATAGCTTCTCTTATCGCCAGAGCTTCCTCCACTTGTGCCTCAGCACAGCCTTCAGTTGGTCTTGCCCATGCACCCACCAATTCCCCCGAGCTGTTCCTGGCTACTACTCCCCACCCTCCCCTATTGTGCTTTTGGTCCAAGGCTGCATCAGTGTTGATCTTGATCCAGCCTGCTTGCGGTGCAACCCATCTCCTATCCTTTACCTGCTCTCCCACTGTCAAAAAGTCATGTTTTGTTCCCCCCCCTTGTGCCAATTGAAACTCATTCCATTCCATTAATGCCTTATTCACCACCACTATAGGCTCTCTACTGCTATTGTTGAATTGCTTATTATTCCTAGCTTTCCAAATCTGCCACAAGATGTGTACCGTAAGAGTAATGTGCTCCCTTCCTCCCTCTCTTGATACAGCCCCCCTGAGCTCCTCCCACCAATGCCAAAAACTGTTCCTAAACTCCTCTAATCCATCCCACCTCACAGGAGCCACCTTCCAGATTGCTCTAGCATTACAGCACAGAAAAAACATATGCTCTAATGTCTCAGAGCTATCACCACAGCACTTGCACACATGATCCCCTTTACCACACTTCCCTTTCACTACTGCATTTGTTGGCAATATTCCTTGCAAACATTTCCAAATGAAGTGTTTGAGTTTATTTGGCATGCTCAATCCCCACAGAAAGCTCCAATTATGAGACTTGATCCTCCTACTGCTACTTGGATCTGGAGTTCCTTTGTGCTGACACTGGCTTTGCTTCATTTCCTTGATTAGTTTGTAGCCAGTCTTGACGGAGTACAAACCAGAACTTGATTTAGCCCAATAGGTCCTATCCATTACCTTCCCCAAGCTCAGTGGTATTTTTAGTATTTGTAACCTATCCATCTCCTCAAATTCCTGCCTCAGTAACTCTCTATCCCACTTACCTTCCTTGATCAATTCACTAACCCTCTGAATCTTGCTATCAGCCTTCCTTGGGGACCTTATCCTCCCATCCTCTACCCCTGGCAACCACCTATCCTCCCAGATTTTAATAGATTCCCCATCCCCCACCCTCCTTCTGAGTCCTTCCTCCAGCACCCCTCTGGCACTCAGCAAGCTCTTCCAGCACCATGAATCTGAGCCCTTTGGTAGTGTATCCCAAATGGATTTCCCACCAAAGTACCTTGCTTTCATAACTCTACTCATCAGCAAATTAGGCTGCATCAGAATTCTCCATAGCTGTTTCCCCAATAATGCCAAGTTGAAGTCCTGCAAGTCTCTAAACCCCAAGCCCCCTTTAGCTTTGATATCTGTCATTCTACTCCATCCTATCCAGTGAACTTTCTTTTCATCCTCCCTCTGGCCCCACCAGAATCTGGCCATTTCTGAGCACACATTCTGACATAATGCCTTTGGCAGCCTACAGCAAGACATCACATATGCCGGTAGAGCTAGAATGACAGACTTCAATAAAGTCTCATTTCCTGCTTGGCTTAGTAGTTTCTCCTTCCAACCCCCAATTCTTTTAATTGCTTTCTGTCTAATGAACTCAAACACCTGCCTCTTTGATCTGCCTATAACCATAGGAAGCCCAAGGTACTTGCTCTGATGGACCTCTCTCATGCCTTCCAGCTCCTTAAGCACCTCTTCCTTCCTCCTTCCTTTGACATTTTTGCTGAAAAAGATGGAGGATTTTTCTTTGTTGATCAACTGACCAGATGCTCGTCCATACTCTTCCAGCACCTGCATGAGCTGCACAGCCTCCCCCACCTTGGCTTTGCAGAAGATTAACGAGTCATCTGCAAAAAAGAGATGAGACAAGCTAGGAGCTGCATTAGCAATCTTCATTCTAGACATTCTGCCTTGCCTATTAGCTCTTCTAAGCAAGGCAGAGAACCCTTCTGCACAGATCAGGAACAGGTAGGGGGAAAGGGGATCCCCCTGCCTTAGGCCTCTAGCAGGCTTAATAAAACCCCTTTTCTCACCATTAACATTCACAGAATAGGAAACACTAGTGATGCACTCTAAGATCCACTGAATCCAAACAGGGCAGAACCCCATTCTTTGCATCATCTTAGCAAGAAACACCCATTCGACCCTATCATAAGCCTTAGACATATCAAGTTTGATAGCCATATAACCATCTTTCCCAGTTCTCTTATTGTTAAGAAAATGAATACTCTCATGTGCCACTAGTACATTGTCCAGAATCTGCCTGCCAGGCACAAAAGCTGATTGCGAGGAACTAATGCAACAATCCAGCACTGTCTTAAATCTGTTGACTAGTGTCGCGCCCCATTTTTTTGATAAAATAAATAAATGGTTTAAAAAAATGTATTTTGTGATTGGAAAATGAATCGTGATTTAAAAGAAAAATGGGTCTAAATGGGGGTTTGAAAATGCGACGATTTGACCCAAAATTATAGTTTAAAAAGGGTTTTTGAAAAAATGGGAGTCGCCACTTGGTAATGAGTTAAGGTGTACCAAGTCACCTAAAAATGAATTTTTTAGGAAAAGTTATAAGAAACCCCTTTTAAACGACTCCTAGTCCACGTAAACCAATGAAAAAGGTTCGGGAGTCACATTTAACGAAGGGGAAGGCAAGGATAAAAATCCAAGGCACCCCTTCGACCTAGCCAAGGCTAGTTGCATGATTTAATCAAAGATTTTCTTGTTTTAACCAAAGAATTTATTACATTTGGATGCACTACGTGAATGCAAACCCTAGACCTAGGGGTATTGGGGGAAATTTCCCTTCAAAGGTTGAGTGGTGCCAATCACATTAATTGTGAAGTCCAATAACGATCCTTTGAAGAAGTCACGAATAATGCGAGTGGGATGCAAATGAATGGAATGCATGTATGCAATGTGAGGATATGTGAAGTGAGAAAGATAATAAAAATAATAGGATGTAAGTGGAGATGTGCAAATGTATTTACAAGTGTTTGTGTGCAAGTGAAGGGATAAAAAGGTGTACGTGTGCAAATGGGAGGAAAAGTGTTCGTGTGCAAGTGAAGGGATAAAAAGGTGCATGTGTGCAAATGAGACAAAAGTGAAAGTGTGCAAGTGAAGGGATAAAAGGTGTACGTGTGCAAATGGGAGGAAAAGTGAAAGTGTAATGATAGAGTGGATTTAGAATGCATGAGCCTAGGGAATGCATGCATATTGGGTACGGGGAGACCTAAATCGTGACTCAATTTGCCCTTTTATAGAGGGAATACAAGCGTGCTAAGGCTTAGAAAAAGCCACACTCGTCTATATCCCATATTTAAGGGGACTCTCAAGCAAATGAACCCTATAACTAGCATGAAATGCAAAAATTCTAAAATGGAGGGAAATGGGGTTCGAGGGGCATGCAAAATGATAAAACTAAAAAGAATGCATGACATGTAATGAACACGCAAATATGTACTAACGAGGGGAAATCCCTAAGGGTCTAGCGTTGGACTAGCCCATTCTATGAATTCCGACTAGCGTTGGACTAGTGGAAACGTGCATTCATCCATCACATTCATTCAGGCTATGGAAAGCGAGTAGACATGTCAAACACTCATAAACACATAGCACATAACATTTAGCATGCTCGACTAGATGCAAGGCCCTAACAAAGCAAATTAACACGTAGCAACTAAGCATGCAAGACACATAAGACAATTAAAGCCCTAACTATTACATTTGCTAGCTAGGCACATGTCTTCAACAGGTCTTCATCGAATGCTCCTCCAAGCCCTATCTATTACAAGCCAAGAGGTGTACACATACCCCATAAAGAATTACTTAAATAAAAAGCAAAAGTAAATGAAGTAAATGAAAGGAATTAAAGAAAAACAAAGGAAGCAAGTAGACATGCAAGTTTCACTTAGCACGTTGGATCACATAGGAGAGACACAAAAAGGGATAAAAGAAATTATACCGCCTCCCTTTGAATGGTGTCCAAATGAAAGAGAAATGGCTTCAAAACAATAAAAAGGTCAAGGTACCTCAAATAGTAAAGTATAACAAAGTCACCAAATCTCTCCTAATTGCAATTTAAATGAAATCAAATAATACATAGTTTTCAATAAAGGGATCCACCAAAGACTCAAATGCAAGCATTAATCAACCATTCAAAGTCAATTGAAACATTTTAGAAATTTTGAAAGTCCAAAAGCAAGAAAAAGGCCAAAGCCAATTTATTTCAGAAAAATTTAAGAAGATAGGCGAACACAAGCTCATTTGGACACGAAGTTCTTAAACTCTTGCATTAAGTACCGCCTATACAAAACATGGTAACCAATGAAGACAAACAAGCAAAATGAATTGAAACATTAATGCGGCCAAAGGCTCCATTGTGAACGCTAATCAAACATTCAAGCCAAATCAAGCACTTTAAGGAACTTCAAAGGGTCCAGGGGCAAAGAAAGGTCCATGAGTGGTTTCACTTGCATTTTAGGATCCCAAAAGCAGCCATTAATCAAACAAACAAAGCCCATTGAAACGTTAAAAAGCTTCAAAGGTCCCAAAAGATAATAAAAAGTCAAATAACGGCTCAACTTGCATCCACCTTAGGACCTAATTGCAAGAAAATGGAATGTAATTGGGTCATAATGCACTGCTGCAAAAGTCACAGGGACCCAATTGATTGATATTCCAACTATTTGGGCCATAGTGAGTCAAAGGGGACTTGAGGGGTTGGAATGCAATTTCTGAAAGATTGTTTCATGCAATCTTCATGCAAATGACGTGAAAAACAACATGAGAAACAACATTCTGCAGCAGTAATTTCGGCTGAAAGCTTTCACAGCAAATGCAAACTTCCCTTAACAATTTCAACCGAACCAAAAACTGGAATCAAAGCAACAAGATAACAAAGCTTTCTTCCCACTTTTTATCTTAGAATCTTGATGTTTATACTCCAGAAAATTCAACCGAAGGTAAAGGACAAAGTTCTGCAATTTCTTTCGGCAAGCTCTGCTGCATTTTCGTTTGTTCATGACCAGATTTTGAGCACAACTTTGATTTGATAGTTTTCAAACCAACATCACAACCTTAAGCTAAACAACAGACTACATAACTTCAAACTCTAAACAAACAAGAAACAGTAAAGGAACTGATGCAAGGAAAATCTGGACAAAACATTCATGCAAAAATGGTTAGGTGACCTGATTGTCTATGTTTCCAGCAAGCATTCAAACATGATTTAAGCATTTCAGCCCCCAAACATGCAACTGAACTCTACTTCAAAACATGACTCTACCTCATGGCATGCATGCACACGGTATTCTAATCACATGGCAAATAAATCACACACTTCAACAATGCAAAACTTCAGCCAACCGAAAGTGCAAGCCTATGAACACTTAGATACCCCAATGAAACCTGTAGATGCATCAATTAATCTACACACAAACAGCCCCAACGACTTGGACAACAAAATATAGCCCTAATGACTTGAATTGTGGGATCCAGAAACCAAAACAAGCAAGATATCAAGACTCTTAGACTCCTTCAAATTTCTGGTTTCTTTCTACAATTTTTCTGCTGCAACCTTGCGGCTTATCTTTACACAAACAATATTATGCAAAAGAATGAAGTAAACCCAGCAACTAAACCAAAACTACACTTTTTGTTTGCAAGATTAAGTCAGAAAAATCTGGGTTGATGACTATCCGAGATTAAAGAAATATCAGCCAAAGAAAGGAATAAAGCGCTGCAATTTTTTTCAGTCAGCCCAGACTTGGATAGTTTTCATTCTTACTGGTTTCTACAATCTTAAACCATTACAACCAAGGCAACTCAAATTCTCTTAAACCCAAACATCAAATGCATTAACCTCAATCCATTAAACTTCAAAACACAACACAAAAATGCAGGAGACAAGCCATTGAAGGTTATGCGGAGAACAGAAATGGAAGAAACGTGCAATCAGCCAAGAACTAAAACAGTCAAAATTTAACACACTTCAACCAAACCCCTAAACCATCAACTGTCAAACAAGCCTACAGCTTCGATGAAATCCAACCATCGAAAGCCTTTTTCTTAGCATCAGTGAACATGCGAACGGAAAGGAACAGAAAGAGCAAGAATAATCCGCAAAACGAATCAAAACCTCAGAGCTACAATCTAACAATGAATGAAAATGAAAAGAAACGAGACATTTAAGCTAGGAGAGTACCTGACCAAGCTTTTTCGATCAAAATCTGGACAGACAAACGCCGTGAATGAACTGCTGCAGTCGCCCTTTTTTGCCGCAACTCTCTTCATTTCGGATTCTCACTCGGCCAGTCCTCCATGAAACTTAGCCCGTAGCAACCTTGAAGTTTTTTCTTCTTTTTCTCCCAAAACCTAAACGCTGCCCTTCACTCCCTAGCCGTATCCCCCTAAAAGTCTCTCCCTCTTCTCTTCTCACGGTCTTCCTCTGCTTAGCACTCCCCCTCTCTGGTTTCTCTTCCTTCTCTTTCTGGTTTTTCTTTCAATTTCAGCCCTCAGCTTTCTTCTTCACGGTGGTTCCTCCCCCCTCACTCTCTAACTCTCAGCCGCCGTTTTTCTTTTTTTAGCCAAAAACCTCCTCTATACTCTCTACTCCGTTGCTGTTTTCTTTTCCTTTCTTTTCCAGATTTGCGGCCCCCTCCTCTCTATCCGTAGCTTTCTATTTATACTGCAGCCCCACCTTAAACCCTCAAGCATCTCTTCCATATTTGCAGCTAAGGAGCCGCCCCAGGTTTCTTTGCAAACGGCGCAAGTCCGTAGCTTTCATGCTGCGGCAACAATTTTTCCTTTTTTTTATTTTTTAAATAATTTAGCAAAAATGATAATAAAATTAAGTAAAAACCAACAATTTGATTAACATCAGATAAAAATAAATAAATAAACTAGAAATAATAAACAGCAAAGTTGCAATTTTTATCATTTTTCTTTTTTTCCTTTTTTTTCATTTTCAATTTTCATTTTTTTTCATTTTTTCCAAGAAAACATTGAATTTAAATCAAAACAATTAAAACATATTATTTTTTTTTGAATGCTTTTTCTTTTCTTTTCGAGAAATTCTATGCTAAAAACTTAAAAACAATAACAACATAAAAAACTAAAAAAACTAAAAACTAAAAAGTGAATAAAACAAGCACAAACTAAAAAAATAAATAGTAAATGAAAATACACCAAAATTTGGTGTCTACAGTTTGCCCCTCTTTGTCTGAGTTTTGAAAAAACTTGAGACAAAGAAGTAGACACCAAATACTTACCTGCTTTATTC